TTCTTATGTTGTCGGGGATTTAAACCATGTTGAGATACCTGGTAGTTTTGACGATGTTGGCGCAATCGAACAGGAGAATTGAAACACCTACAGATTCAGCATCCTTCTGGGTTAAGGTACAAACAGCTATGCACAATCTGTTGAGCTCTTCCTTATGTGTTGCTCCAACAAATACAATCTGCCTGCAACAGTCTCGAAGACATGCGCGAAAAAATGTTAAACGGGGGCTTTTTTTCTCCATACGAATTCCTCCATCGCACGATTTTGCCTTTCAAGATTAGGCTTGGTTTCTAAGGATAAATTAGTAGGCTTGGTCTCTAAGGCTAAATTCGTCATCGAGGTCTAAACTAGAAGATCTTGGAACCGTTTTTTGCTAAGTCTTCTGACTCACGAGCACGATAATCGCATTATAAAACATGGATCAAATTCTGTTTGAAGCTCTGGGGGATCTCCTCGGGAGGACTGGCCTCGCATGGTGCGGATAAGAGAGCATGGACACCACGCCAAGAGTAGTCCTTTCAACATTTACCTTAGCATACTCGTCTTCCCTGGCTACTGCCTTCTTGTGTTTCTTTTCCAGTTTAAGCTGGTCGAATTGATCATTAGTCTGAGAAATCCTATGAGGTTAAAAGAGTAAGAAAAAAAATTTGTCTGTACCTTCTAGGAAAACATTGAATGTTTGAATTTAAATTCAAATCTCAGTTTTTATTATTTGGTGCATCTCAGCTTTTATTTTTAATATTTTAACGCATCTCAGTTTTTATTATTTGGTGCATCTCAATTTTTATTATTTATTGCCGACAACCAAGAAACCTCTCTTTTGGTTAACAGGACGAGCGAGATTTTGCCTACGGGCTCTTGAGTCAAGCGGAATTGGAATAAGGAGAACTGGAGGTAAATCCATTGACCACTATTTATGAATATGTGTTACCTATATTACTTCTTTTTTTTAATGGGTGTGCTTAAAGTTTGGTGAACAAGGGTGAAGATTTGTCTTTCAACTGCAGTGTTATGACTAAAACCTGGGGAACTGTAAGAAAACTGATAAAGGTAGAATTTACACCAAAAACACATTAGTAGATAATTACATCGATAAATATCATTATAAATGCTGTTACTATCGTCATTATCATTGCTCATAAAAGCAGTTTAGAATTTGAACGTTTATATCTCTGTCACAGATCGAAACACGAGGGTACAGACCCGAATCAATGTGAGTATCTTAGTATATATATGGGCAAAAGTTGTTACTTTACAAGAGTAAAAGCGAAGAAAAATTATAAAAGAGAAGCTTTTTAACGTGGGTGGTTTTCCGAGAGCGAAGGTCAAGGAATACTGATAGCTCCGATAAACAGAAAATGTTCAAGGCGAAATATTCGAGAACACTTTCGCGCCAAATATAAATTATTGTGTATTCACAATCCATAGGATATTTTGGCTATGCGCAGTACAAATTTTTTCGAACAGCTTTCTGACCCTTTATTGCTTTTGATTTTCAAATTTAGGTTGTAAATTTGATAACACCATATATCCCCCAGTTTTCGGCCGGGTGACACGTTACATTTGATATATTAGAACATGGAATATTCTTTTTCTGCAGTGATTATGGATAGTCACACATCTTTTGATCCGCTGGGTATGGATTAAAAGTGCAGGAATCAAATTTGTCATGACAGAAGAGGCTACTCTTCCTTGTTTATTATTCCACCACCTCGTAAGCAACGAAGAGCATTGTTCTAGATCTAATATTTGGCGATAATTTTACCAAAATTAAGTATTGGCTGATAAGTTAAACTGTAGGGACGTGAATGAAATACCGTAAGTGTTAGCAGGGAAGGTCAAAAGGAAAATTCGGGCAACCTCTTACTTTCAAGTGTATTTTAGCAGACAAATGTCAAATAGAAGTCTTTGGTCTATTTTTCTCTTTTAATGTAATACTACATGTACGCAGGAACAGCAACGAAGAAAAGAGCAAGAAGAGCTCGAGAGGTATGAGTATAAACGATAAAGGGAAATTCGATGAGAACTTTTAAAATGATCCTTAATCTAATTAATTTGATGATTTTATGTCTGGGTAACACAAAACAGATCATCCGTGAAGCTGCATTGATTTTAACATTGGCCTAAATTCAAAATAAAGAAATAGTGTTTCACTGAATCTTGTAACTGATATTTTCCTTAGAAATGTTGAGCAACACTTCAGAAAAGTTGAATTGCATTATTTGCAGTTTGGTGCGGAAGTTAGACTGATAATTAGCACAGGTTAAATATGAATGGAAACTGTGTCACTTTGGAAAATCTGACCAGCAGTTGTAGCACTCAGTTCACTCTGACTCATTTATTCGGTTTGATTCATTCTCTTAAAGTGTGGAGGAGCTGCTTAAAATCAAGCACGAGCTGACAAAAGAAAGGGATGAAAAGCTCTCTGAAATTGCCAGAGTAAGGGTGTTTGATTTCATATTTCCATTCAAATTTTCTTTCGCTCTATTACATTCTCTATAAATTTCATGAGCCAGCAAATGTTCCACAAAAAATTTCAACATGAAACCGTCTTTATACAGTAAGTTATCGCGTGCAGTTTAGTAACTTTGCAAAAACATCTACGTTATCGTGTTTGAAAAAAGTATAAAAAGTAGGACTCGCAAATCCGTGCAAAGCAAGTGCTAGACCCTGTTGTCATTTTTTGTAGAAACTGGCAAATATAGGGTCCCTTATAAATCTTTATGTCTACCACAAATTTCCATGAAACCTCACAGACTCCTTGATATTGATATTTTTTAATAAATGTTTATTAACAAGCAACGAATATGATTTTTTTCCAGTAAAAAGTTTGAAAGCACAATGATCTTCTAAGGAGTCCATTAGATTTTAAATTGATAGACGACAGGTTTCCATGGTTATACATTAGGTTACATTCGCATGACTTTTTTTTTTTTGACAGCTGAAAGAAGACATTCAAGTGCAAAGTAATAAAGCTCAGCGAGAAGCTAGAAAAGGAGAGGAACTTAAAAAGGAGTTGAGTCAAGCAAAGAGCGATTTAGAAAATAGAACTGCTGAGCTGAAAACAAAAACAGAAAATCTTCAACGTGCACAGGAAGACATCACAAAACTTGACCAGCAACTCATGGAACAGAGGGTAAATTTGTTAAGAGTTTTTAGTCAATTTTTATTTGTCTTCAAACGTTCATGTCAATATTCGTGCGATAGAAAAAAAAAACGTTTAGGCTTTCCTCGGTGATGGATACTTCTTTAATTAGAGAGGAATGGCTTTCAAGTGTTGATGATAATATTTGATTTGTTTTTAAGATAATGAATGAAAAAGCTATGGAGTATACGGATGTGTTTAATGCTCGCCTAAACAAAGTCCAGCAAGATTTTGATCAGCAACTTGTCAGCATTAATCGGCTGGCCACGGAAAACACAAATAAAGCTGCCGAGCTGAGGGCAAAGGAAGATGAGATAAACGGGCTGAGACAGGAAACACTGCACCGAAGTGCAGTGGCAGAAGCCATCCAGAGAAAGCTGAGAGACGTCGAGGAACTGAAGATAGAGGCTGAACAACGAGAAGAAACTCTTAAAGGACAAGTTTCTGGCTTGAAAAAAGGTAAGTGGAATGATGGTATGAAAAGAAAATGTTTGGGTCTTTTAAAAATTAGGCAGATTTCGGACATATCTGGCTTTCCCTTTTCCTCAGTTATAGAGTAGCCCCAACAAGGCAAAGTCACCTTAATCGTGATTTTGCGTGTAGATTTAAGGGGCTTACAAATATAGAAAAGGTCAACTACAAATTGCAGCTTTTTCCAAGTATTATCCTGTTAAATAAGTTATCTTTGTTGTATGATTAGTACAAAGGTGAGCTGCAATTTATGCAACGGCAGGAAAGAAACTTTTCCAGTCTCCTAGACACTAGTTGTGTGCAACTACAAACTGAGCTAAGAAGCCACACGCTGGGAGCGGGGCACAATTTAAAGGATTCTTATGATAATAATCTTTTAGTTCAATGTTAGAAATTATGTTGGTATCCATTATGGTAAATATTTTGATAGATGTTCTATGGTTCGTGTCACAATATGGAGTCAGGCAAACAATTCATATAGATTGCCTGACTCAATATGGTGACATAAACAATAAAAAATCCATTAAATTCTTTAGTTCTCGTTAAAATCTATAGGTTGTTCGACATACTTATCAATTAAGATTACTCAAATGAAATGTAACCATTACAATCTATAAACTCTCTCTTCCTTTATCTTATTCAGAACTTGAATCAAGGAAAAATCAAGCTGAAGCAGATAAAAAGGCCATCGATGATCTTATCTGTCAAAGGGACTTCCTTAACCAGGTACTTTACTCTTGTCAATTTTACTCTTAATCTGAGCTTAGGAGTTTTGTGTTTTTGGTTTTTAGAACGAGATGTTATATTTAATGTTTGATTTTATTTTTGTCGACAAATCCTTTAAAAAATTTTGAATTTGGAGTCAAGTGGTTCTTGTTGTCGGACCTCATCCTGTTTACTGCGTTATAAATGGACCTGGAGTATTTACATTTCTCCTAGTTAAACCGCGAGCATATCTGTACTCTAAATTTTAAAGACAAAAACATCTTCATACAGTAGCTCATCGTGTGTTCTTAAGTATATTTTTAAAGTTAGAGAAAACGCAGTTTTTGACTCATTACAACGTATGACTCTAAACTTGCCAATCAATGCCAAGCAAATGCTTGACCCTGTTGTCATTTCTTTGTAGAAATTGGCAGATATAGGGTCTCATGTATAAATCTTGATATGTTTGCCACAGATGTCCATGAAACCCCTCTGACTCTCTAATATTGCTATCTTTATAAATGGTTATTAAGAAGCAACGAATATGATTTTTTTGTTGCATTAAAAAGGTTAGAAAGCAAGATTATCTTCTAAGGTGTCCATCACATTTTAAAATTAATGGAAGCAATTTTCCATGGTTATACATTTGGTTAAATTTGTAGGATTTTTTTTGTTCCGACAGTTCAAAGAAGAAATCCAAGTCCAAAGTGATCAAGCCCAGCGAGAAGCTAGAAAAGGAGAGGAACTTAAAAAGGAGTTGAGTCAAGCAAAGAGCGATTTAGAAAATAGAACTGCTGAGCTGAAGACAAAAGCAGGAAACCTTCAACGTGCACAGGAAGACATCACAAAACTTGACCAGGAACTCAAGGAACAGAGGGTAAATTTGTTAAGAGTTTCTATTCAATTTTCATTTGTCTTGAAACGTTCATGTCAATATTCGCGTCATAGAAAAAAAGAACTTTTAGGCTTCCCTTGGTCATGGATACTTCTTTAATTAGAGAGGAATGGCTTTCAAGTGTTGATGATAATATTTGATTTATTTTAGATAGTGAATGAAAACGCTATGGAGTACACAGATGTGTTGAATGCTCGCCTAAACAAAGTCCAGCAAGATTTTGATCAGCAACTTGTCAGCATCAATCGGCTGGCCACGGAAAACGAAGAGAAAGCTGCCGAGTTGAAGGCAAAGGAAGATGAGATAAACGGGCTGAGACAAGAAAGACTGCACCAAAGAGCAATGGCAGAAGCCATCCAGAGAAAGCTGAGAGCCATTGAGGATCTGAAGATTGAGGTTGAACAACGAGAAGAAACTCTTAAAGGACAAGTTTCTGACTTGAAAAAAGGTAAGTGGAATGATGGTATGAAAAGAAAATGTTTGTGTTTTTTAAAAATTAGGCAGATCTCGGACATATCTGGCTTTCCCTTTTCCTCAGTTATAGAGTAGCCCCAACAAGGCAAAGTCACCTTAATCGTGATTTTGCGTGTAGATTTAAGGGACTTACAAATATAGACAAGGTCAACTACAAATTGCAGCTTTTTCCAAGTATTATCCTGTTAAATAAGTTATCTTTGTTGTATGATTAATACAAAGGTGAGCTGCAATTTATGCAACGGCAGGAAAGAAGCCTTTCCAGTCTCTCAGACACTAGTTGTGTGCAACTACAAACTGAGCTAAGAAGCCACACGCTGGGAGCGGGGCACAATTTAAAGGATTCTCATAATAATGAACTTTTAGTCCAATGTTAAAAATAGAGAATAATATATGGGTGCACATTGATATGGAATTTCTCTTCGAGTGTTCAACTTGAGAAGAGAATTCCATATCTACAATTAACCGTGTAATATATGGATTTAGCCAAGCCTAAAAGCGGAGCTCGCATTTTTTCTTTCCCGCAAGTTTTTTGCCTTTTCCCTCAAGGGCACAACGCCTTGCCCCAGAACTAGAACCCGGGTCGTCCGACTCGAGAAAATTCTGACAAACGACCTTGGATTGAGAATGGTCAAGGCTTTATTGTTCATTCATCAACCTAACAGAGTGGCGAGAAAGGCGAGTGACGTGCTAGCAGCTGATTGGCGATATTAAACACATGTGAAAAAATATCGTATCTTTTCACATGTGTTGTTACGGCTTTTCTCAGGGCTGGAAATCCTAGTATAACACCATAGTTTATATGATAAATTATGTTATTATTCATCGTGGTGAATAACTTGATAGATGTTTACTCGTTTGTCTTATGATAAAGAGTCAGGCGACCAATTCATATTGATAGCCTGACTCTATATCTTGAGATAAACGAGGAAACATCTATCAAATGTTTTAGTTCTTGTTAAAAGTTGATGTAATTACAAATCATGATAGTTAGATTGTTTGACATACTTAGAAATTAAGATTACTTAGATGAGATTTAAACTTTACAATCTATAGAATTTTTCTTCCTTTATCTTAATCAGACCTTGAATCAACCAGGAAGCAGGCTGAAGCAGATAAAAAAGCCATCGATGATCTTGTCTGTGCAAGGGACATCCTTAACAAGGTACTTCACCCTTGTCAATTTTACTCTTAATCTGAGCTTGAGTGTTTTGGGTTTTGGCTTTTAGAAGAGGATGTTATATCTAGTATTTACTTTTATTTTAGTTTATCAATCTTTTAAAAAGTGTCCAAATTCTGTTATAACTATAGAAACACTGATGTTTGATTAAAAAGGGAATGTGGATTTTGGATGAAACATCGTTCTTTTTATGAAAAAGGTCATCGCTTAGATAATTCTCCTTAGGTGGGCTAAAAACAGGACCAGGACCTCATCCTGTTTGCTGCGTTATAAATGCACTTGAGGTATTGCTATTTCCCCTGAATCGAATGTTTGTCCATTGCAGGTTACCCTCCTCCCACCCCTCCCTGGACTGACTGCTAGTCCATTACAGGTTACTCTCCTCCCACCCCACCCTTAGGAGGTCTTAAGGCACCTTAAGGCATCGCAATTTTTCTCATCCTATGTTATCGAGTATAATTAATAAGAGAGAGGATTTGAGTTTGTCTTTGTGCTTAAATACACACAGGAGGAGATGGAAGCAAAAGAAAAAATGAAAATGTAAGTACTACAGGTTGTCTCATTCGTTGCATTAGCACCGTGCTTTTTAAGTGCTTTCATGTCTCCCGATCTTGCTGCAAATGTATAAGCTCGGGAGTTATACCTGTGTCAACTTGTGGTTAATGTTTGCTTACCTGAAAAATACTGAAATGAGTAAACAACAGCTAAGTCTGTCTTAGAGTCAAATTTTGGCATCGCAAGCTGTCGGATTATTCGCACACAATCAATTATCAATCAATCAATTTGGGAAGTTATAACCTTCCCCCTTATTTTAGACCCTGCAGCACCCCTTTGCCTTTCTCGTAATATTTAATTCCTTGTTAAAAATTAACACTACTTCTAGAATTAGTAAGAGCCATAAACATTTCTATTTGCTTGAAAAGATTTGGTTCACATATTTTCCCAATTTTAAAGTATTCCCTAACGCTATAAGTGTTAAGGAGCTCCAGTAAAATGACACAAAATGATATTTTGTTTGTCTTCGTGAAGTGATATCACAGAGTGTTGTAAATTTTTTTTCTTCTTTTTACAGAGAATTTGAGAAATTAGAAAGAAACTTCGCCATCTATCGCCTGGAGGTAAAATATCTGTAACTGAGCACTTTGTACGTAGAACGCTTTATCTGGTTGGTGAATCTGATTTCCAAGCTAATGCACTAAGCGGAATTAAATGACAAATATTTTTATGTTTGTATTTACGGGCGAAATATTTGAAGATTATTGTCTTACCGAAACGATTGATGAGATTGGAAACATGCTGTTGCACATAAGAGGTGTCCATTAAACTTTGAATCTTGTCGCGCCGTAAAAGTGAAAGAGCTCGTCCAAATATCTTTGAAGTGCTCGTAAAAAAAAAGACACAAAAGCTCATGTCTTCTTCTTCGAGAAACTATTGAAGCATTCTTGTGACTTCTTGTTGATTTTGAGTAGACCTCTGTGAAAGATCTGCTTTGAGCAGAGGCGACGAAAGAAATTTAGAGAAAAATATTGCATTGTGGGTAATTTAGCGTAACGACCAGTGAACTTCTATTTACGGCTCGGGCTACTGTCTTTCAATTTCACCAAAGTAACAATCAAAAACCACCCGCTACCTGCAACTGAGAAGTGTTGACGGGGAAGTCTTGAGGTGTTTCATAGTACCACTGAACAATATCGTTAAACATAGTCTTGTAATTGGTTTTTCAGGGGAGGATGGCTCTGAATGAGATGGAGAAGTAAGTAAATATAATTATTCGCTTAATTATCAGCAATGGTTAGAAGGCTGTTTCTTAAGATGAAGTTTTCTGAGAGTGTAGCCCTGCTGAGAGGCTGGGTTGAAATTATGGTCACAAAAAAGCTTGAATTTTTGGAAATGAAGATCTATAGCCCATTATCAGTGAGGAAAATAGAGGAAAAATCTATAATAAGCAGTCGAAATACTTCTCATGTTTTTTAATCTGGGGAATTTCTAAACTATGCAGTTCAAATTTAGTAACAAATTAAGGTGAGTGGAAAATTTCGAGGTGAAAATTTTATCTAAATTTCTTTCTAAAAATGCAAATAGCACGTGTACTGAGAAATTTAGCTACAAATTTTTCTACAAGAAAATTCCAATAGCTTCGTAATATCTAGATAATTTGATTACTTGTAGACATAGTAACAAAGAGTCGATCATCTAAAAAGCCTCGGTGAAGCTTTTCTAATTTTTAAGTTAATTCAACCATTTAGTAGATCACGACTTATTATATTATTTAAGTTCATAAACCTTACACTGTTAACTGGAAGAGTAAAATTTCATGTTGTATCTCACTTTTTACAGCAAATTGGAGGATGCGAAGAAAGCTTTAGCAGATGTAAGTATACTTGAGAAATTTCTGCGTTCAATTGCAGCACTTTAATTTGTTTTCAGCTTTAGAAATCTGAAATTATTGATTTCAGCTTCTCTTGTAACTTTTCATCCAACTAACTTGTAAGGAAGTGCAAACTATCTAACCAACTGAACTTGCCAGCGTGGTTAAGTATGTCTTAGGATGTGGGTCCTGATCAAAGTATTCAAAAAGCTGAAAAACAGATCCCCCTCTCTAACCGTCTGATGAAATTGGAATGTGAAAATGCATGTGAACGCTCATCAGCGGATGCATAGTGACGATTCCCGGTTGAATTGATTTATTTTGTTTCATCAGAAACGTTTAATAGCCATATAACTATAAATTTGATAACCTCGACCGTTCACTTGTTTTTGCAAAAAAACCTCAAATCTCGGCTTCAGTTTGAGATAGTCCCGTTATGACACCATTCTCGGTTATTAAGTAGTTAGAATGGAATGCCTTTTTCGGGAACTTGTCAAAAAAACTACTATCGTGATTTTTCCATCACATTGTCAAGACAAACTTACTATCTTTGGAGCTGTTAAAGATTTTAAACAACAAAATAATTTAGTTTAATATTATAATTAGGACCTTTCCTCACTGGCGACTGAGTTGTTTATTTAGACAAATTTTCTTTCATCACGAACATTTTACAAGTGCGGATGGCTTGTCGCAACTTCACAAATTTTGGCCAAATCAGACATATCTTCAAACGCACCGCCGATAAACCAAACCTTTATAACCTTGTCAATCATTTTTCGTAAAAGCTATGACAAGTGTGTAATTGAACTGAAATCAGTTTACTAGAAAGGCAAAAATTGTCATTTGCTGCAAAACTCGGGCATTTTATATTTTGAAAACGACTTAGGGCCAATCTGGGAAATTGATTTTCTATAGACAGTTAGAAAGTAATAATGAAAGATCGGCAGAATTAATTACCATCGGTTGGGTTTACCATGAAATGCGATTTTCAAGGTCAATTTATTATCTAGAGAAGTTTTACATGCCATGAGAGCCTCTTTCAACATCCTTCACCCGTGTTCGACGAAAATCCCACTAATTTATAACCTAAAAACTTAAGTAAGTAGCTCTTGCTGAGATAACTCGGCCTACATTCCTCTGAAATCGTCTTTACACATAACTTTAAGTACTTGAAACTCCCAAAGATGGGCATTCTGATAGGAGTGATATTACTCTTTAGACTGTCTTCACATGAACTACTGAAACAATATCAACATCCCGTTACACTTAAAACAGCAAGCAATCCAAATGTTATACCATTATCACTAACAAACACTGCGTTTCTCTTTTGCTAGGGTAAAAGAAATCAAGGAAAAAGAAAAAGGCTGAGCGTATTTAAATGTCTGTAATTTACCTCTTTAGTTTCTTTTATTTCTAATGTCAATTATTTTTTCACGATGTACTGAAATTTTTCATCCTCTTTTCCGATTTTTTAATGCTTTTCCTACGATCTTTTTAGCTTAGACAATACCTTCCTTTGTTCGGTTTCGGTTTAGAAGTTTTTGTTATTACTGGTGTCAATTATATTTATGTGACGTGCTACAGCTTTTCATTCTCTTTCGCCATTTATTATTAATGCTCTTCCTACGATCTTTTATCTTAAACAGTAACTTTATTTTTTTTTGGGTTCAGTTTTAGAAGTTTTTTTTATTACTGATGTCAGTTACATTTATACGAAGTGCTGCAATTTTCCTCTCTCTTGGTTTTTAATTCCTTTCGCAATTTAATGTTCTACGATCTTTTTATCTTAGAAAGTACCTTTCTTTTATTAGGTTTCGGTTTTAGAAGTTTTTTTATTACTGATGTCAATAATATTTATAAGACGTGCTACAATTTTCAAACTCTTTGTTTTTGAATTCATTCGCAATTTTTGGTGCTCTTCCTACCATCTTTTTATTTTAGGCAAAACCTTTCTTTCGTTCAGTTTCGGTTTTAGGAGTTTTTTTTTATTACTGATGTCAATTATATTTATATGACGTGCTGCAATTTTTATTCTCTTTGTTTTTGAATTAATTTCGTCATTTTCAATGCTCTTCCTGCCATCTTTTTATCTTAAGCAGTACCTTTCTTTTGTTCGGTTTCCGTTTTAGAAGTTTTCTATCGTCAGAAACTTCACATGTGTGGCTATCATTGGCATCTCAGGTAAGAAGGATTCGATTCTCATCAAAGTGGCCACAACCAAAACTATCAGTCGCAAAGTCTTTGCACCAGACGACTCGACCGACTTGCTACCATCATCGCCGTTGGATTATCTCTTTCCATGCACAAGGGAGACTCACTGTTCATTGCCTGAGTAATGTTTCACTCAGGTAGAATTACACCATCTCTGTTTCATCATCAACAACTTACAGTTAGCTCCACCACCACTGGAAGAAACGACCTCGGTCAATTACCCTGCCTCGCCACTAGGTCGCAACCAGACCACCTCGACCAACACTGCCGGATTAGCTGCGTCTACCAATACAGCCAACTGAAGACGGCCTCCGCCAGCACAACGAGCGAGACCACTTCATCCTGAGCACTCAACCGGGCCACTCTTTCGGCACAACTAACTGTGCTTTCTCGACCAAAGCAGCCAAATGGAGGGCATGGCTGTCTCCACTACTTCCGGTAGCACAACCAACTTCATCACAGAAACACAGCTGTGATCACATACTGCTTCAGAAGACCTCTTTCTTCCCTACAACTGCTTTAAATCAACAAATTACGACTGGTGACTCTCTCTAACTTCTACCTAAAATGAAAGTTTCTCTATTCAACAGTTCGAGTCACTGAGGGTAAATGTAGAAGGTCAGTGGAAAGAAAGGAAAAGGAAAAGCAGGGTTCATGAACTAAATTTTCCTCGCGGAAGGTTCGAGATATTGTCAACTGTATTCTACGTTTTAGGTGACTGTGTCTATAAATTAATTCTATCTCAGCCCAGTGGGCTCTTCCCTTCTTCATTCACAGCTTAGAGTGTGGAGTATACGACTTGTTTCACGGAGTTCATTTGCTTGTTTACTTCGCATCAAAGCCTCATAGAATTACTTGCTTTATCCTTGTCATAAATGAAACAAACCGAACCGAACCTCGGCTCATCCCGTTTGCGACAATGACTGCTAATCATCCCTTGCATTGTAACAAATACCTTTCACATATCAGCACTGAAAAGGTTGGTAGGTATGCATCGGCCAGTTGGTCCGACAGTATACTTAAGTACTCGTGTGGATTATTCTAGATGGTATGTCTTAACCGCTGGCGTGTAAACCTCATGTCTTCTCCAATATGCTGTCACACCTCTGCAGTGGTGTTTTTAAGCTAAGTCACGCTTATTGAAGTTCTTGTTGTGCAGCTCTTGCCAGCCTATAAATGTAAATGCATTTGTCCAAAGGAAATGCCAGCCCAATGTTAGCATGGAACGGCAGGAAGATGACCGTAGCGGAAAATGTCAGATAGGTGTGAGTTTTCAGATTTCTTTCGGTTTCTAATTTTTTTGTTTCTGTCACGGAGCTAATTGTGGGTGCACGCTAATAGATGCTGAGATTTCCTCTATCCCCTACATGAATGGTGAGTCAAACGATCTTTGGTCCAGTTTTTCCTTGATGCTGTGGGAAGAACCCTCATAGAGTGCTTGTGGTCGATAGTGATGATTGCTTCCTTGGTAAAGCTATTTTCACTCTTTTGAAGATATGGTCCAGCTGAACTCCTTTCAATCAACGTTCACCAGGCGCTGAAATGGTTGCTCAT